GTACGTAAAAGATAACCATACGCTTCAGAGGCGCATGCTTTTCTAAGGCGTCAATTTTATACTAACAATGGATATTTATTTAAGTTAATCTAGTCATTTTAAAGGTTTGGCATTATTGTAAAAATAAAATGCATTTATATATATTTTTTTTATATTTTAAGTAATTTTAAACTTAAATCACTAGACCTCTATGAAAAATTAACAAAAATCAACAGTCTTCGGTTTATGGGAACAAATCCCGTAAAATGTCACAAAAAATAGTGTTTTATCCTTACAAACTAGTAGACTATAATATAATCAGTGTAAAAAAAACTATAATATTATAAAAAATTTCTTTAGAGACAGTCATGACAAACATCTTTCTTGTGTTCACCACAAACTGTCTTTTTGCATTTGGCACAGGTCATCTTTGACATTCTTTTCTTTTTAGACGTGCAAAGACTGCAAGAACGCCTTTTTTTGGCTGAGGGTTCTTCTTCATCATCTGTGGAAGCCTGTACAGCAGATTTTGGAAGAATATTTTCAATGTTGCTTCGCACATGCCTTGGCAAAGTGGGTGCTTCCAGTCTTTGCGTCATCCACGGTGCAGTCAGTTGTTTATTTCGCAGGCGCCTCTGGGACGTAGGTTATCTTTCTCGGGTTAAATTCGGCGAATTGTATTGTTCGCGCCCCGGCACAAGAAATGGCTTTCTTTCGACCGTCCTGGCCGTAACGAAGAACTTCCGGCGTGCCTGTTCCGAAGTTAATTTCGCGAATATTCGGCGTTGATGCCGGTAATAAAGATGCAGCACCTCGCGCAGGCAGCTATCACAGTGCAATAGCTTGCTGCATATGCGTCGTCTATGTACTACGTGCAACCCGCACACGAACACCAATATTATTATGCATTATCTATATCGTCGTGAAATCCGACGCTGCCTATGCTGCGGTTGACAAGGACTTGGGAATGACGCGGGCACATCGATTGTATCATTAATGCTTAATCACGGATAGTGCACCGTAATTGTGTTACCTTTGTCGTGTACGAATATCAGATACCCCGGGTCGATCGCTCTTCGTCAAAGTCGGCCCCGAAAAGCCAGAACTTATGCCAAAGCGCCGGCCATTCTCGAGGCTGCCTTTGCAATTCCTAACAAGAACTTTCCTCGATTATGCTAACATCCGTCGCGACGAAGACATTGATAAGAGTCTACGAAATTTTCGGCCGACGAAATTGTTCGGAACAGAAACGCTCGTGTATTCTTTGTAACGTCACCGTCGAAAGCTGGGTGGGTAACTTCGTCGGGAGAGCTGATTGAATTATGAGGCAAGTTCGCTGGCATTTATTACCCTGCCAGGATCTTAATGAGATCGCCTCGACGGTCTGTATTGACAAACAGGACGCAGAATGTCGGGAACGCTTTGGCACACTGATTCATCTTTCCGGAAATTTTCTCTGCACATTATTGGGGAAATAGTGGAAACACGATCCCAGCATGAATGCGAAACGAAGGTAAACGAAAAAAACGCGAACGTAAGATAGCGTCACGTACTATGAATGACGAGGAAATGTACGAAAGGAACACGTAAAAATATATCTCACTTGTTCTATGTTCTGTGCTGTAATTTGAAGAATTGTGTTTCAATTATATTGAATTTCAATTAAATTGTATTTCAATTACATTGTACTTCGATTACATTATATTTGGATTACATTATAATTCAATTAGACTCGCGATTAAAATAATTAGTAATTGAATTACACTGTATTTCAATTACACGTGTCATATTAAAATAATTAGTAATTAAATTAACCCGAAGGTTTGAATTGTGTAATTGAATTACAGTGCAATTAAAATACAATATATATAATTGAATTAGAATGTAATTGAAATACACAATGTAGTTGAATCAGATACAATATATAATTGAATTGGAATGTAATTGAAATACAATCTAGTTGAATTAGATTGTAATTGAAATACAATGTAGTTGAATTAGAATGTAATTGAAATACGATGTAGTTGAATTAGATTGCAATTGAAATACAATGCATTTGAATAGCAATGTAATTGAAAAAAACAACGTAATTAAATTACATAATGTAATTGACATAAAATTTTGAAATAAATATTGAGAAAAAATTGACATAAATTACATAATACAATTACAACACTGTAATTGAACTAGCAGAACTGCGAGGATGCTAATCGACAGAAATGTGTTCGTATCTTTTCCAGTCAGCCCGGTCTGTCACCAAGGACAAATGAAGGTGTTCGGCGTGGCCCGACAGGAGACCGCGCGGATACCATGCGAGCTTGTAGCAAATCCACCGGAAGTGTTGTTCACCTGGAGGTTTAATAACACAATGGAGGCGGTGGATATACCCCAGGCACATGTCACCAGCGAACGGACACGTTCCACAGCGTCTTACACGCCGATGACGGAATTAGACTACGGAACTCTACTTTGCTGGGGCACGAACGACCAGGGCGTCCAACTTGAACCTTGCGTTTACCACATCGTCCCAGCTGGTGGGTAATCCTTATTAGTATATATTTTCACACGTAGTTATACTTATCGGTGGACCGCCGATTTTTACGCATTTGTTACAAAATCGACCGGATACAATTGTTTTGTCCGTACGTTCGGTTAGTCGCCTAACGTGCATGCGCGACCGAACTATTGTACGCTCGATTCGCGCTTCCTACGGCAAATTAATGACGTGGAAGGGTCTCTAGTAGTCTTAGAGAACTTTATTTTTTGTGTTGTACTCTCTGCGAGCGCTGGTGGAAGAATGCTCTTCCAACGCTGGAAAGTCGTGGAAGAGCACCCGTGGATGGAGGTAGATTGTTTATTATTGGTCAAGGCACGAATCACCCCTTGGAGGGGGGTGTCTGCCTTGACCCTTGTTGGGGCCTGAGAGGGTTTCCCCAATGGTGGGACCTTTTTATGGCCCTTGTCTCTGGACGCAACAACAATTTGAAACGATGATAAAGATAAAAAAACGTCGCAGAGTTCTAGAACCATAAAAAATGTTTGAAGTATAATATTATACCTAACACTAGAACCACCAAACTAGTCCGGTTTCTAATTTTTTCCTTTACAATTCCTGATACTATGAAAATATTTCTATGAGAAATTTTGTCAGAAGAACTTTATTATTCAAGCATACGTTATAACAGAAACCGTATAAAGTACGAATAAATCCAATCGTGACGTTGTTATAAAACAATATAATAAATAACTAAATCGCGTTTAGAGCTCGGTGGTCCTAGTGTTGAACATAGAGTAGTCGCTGATAACCTGTGACGTTGATGCGACTTTAATCGCACAGCACAACAAAACAAAGCAGAAAGGATTCATTTCCTTTTACGAAGATCCAACCCCAACAGAACCGAAAGCGAGTAACGATGAACGCGTTCGCAGTACCAAGAATGCACGAGATCTGCATTCTCCAGTGAACAATTCGCTCATTTTCGTGATGGACGAATCATTTTCAGTTGGCTAGTTCTAGAATTGATCCGGAGAAATCTCTACGGGAATAGAGACCGCAGCGTTAGCTCCCACGAAACAATAAAACCAAGAATCCGGGAGGAAAGATACACAGAGTGCTGTCTACGCTTTATTCCCAGCGGATGAGCGTCGCGTCATCGAGCATTACCAAACGTGATGCGAAACAGCGCGAAGCTCGGTCGATCTCGAGTGCTCCGCTGCCAGAAAGATCCCAAAACAATGTCGACGTTAATTCGACACTGGAAAATTCACTGTTTGCCGGCGCGTCAACTCTGTCTCTCTGCCTGTTCGGCTCTCAGCCGATCTATACGAATAAAAATTTAGCGTGCGAGCGAAAGAGAGAGAGGAAGGGAGAGGAGAGGAGAGTGGCTCGCTCGCGCGGTGCAGAAATAATGCGTCGCGCAATATTTGGCCAGATCGACGCGTCAACAAGGTCGCAGCGTTATTTGTTGTTCAACGGCCGTAATTCAATTGCGGACAATTATGCGAAATAAAAATTGTCCGCATTAATTAATTGCCAACATTTTTTCCTTCTTTAATAATTTTAATAAGTTCAAATCAATGCATCAATATTCTTCGTTTCATTGAATCTTTTTACTGTTTTCGATTAGGCCAACTTATCTCTGCCATAAATGCATAAAATCCGCGGTCTAGTCGTAATACACTCGATGGCAAAATTGAAGCATCGCTAATTTTTGGCCGAAAAATTGTCAATATTTGAACAGCTGCAACTCCGTTAACCCCTTAACGCGCAGAAACGTATTAACACGGGTGTGCAAAACCGGCCAAAATGTGCAGACCCGTATATATACGGTCGGCGTCGCAACTTATGTCGCTAAAATGTTCAGATTCGAATATATGCGGGCAGTAAAAATAACTTAATAAAAACCAAGGAAAACATTCAATTTATTGATATTCATAGTGTAATTCTGTATTGTAAGCTGTAAAGTTTGTTTATTTGGGATTATAAAATATGGCCTTTTAGGGTGACGCTTATAAGCATCTCTGACCTGGTAATTGTTTCTATCTATCTATATCCATTATTGCGTATCTAATTAGCGTTGGC